CCATGCTTGCAGTCTAGTGAAAAGTAGAGAAAATAAACATGTTAAGAAAAAGATTGTAGTATCAGAAGTAAAACATTCGAATATTGTTTCCATTGTTCTTCCAAACATTCTCCAAAAAGTAAACTATGAAACCGTAATTTATAAAATAATGAGCAATTATGATCTAAAGGTATCAAAATTTAAAAAAAAAGAAGCATAATATTTATTTGTTTTACTTTATTAAACTTTCTTTTCACGTGCGCATGCGTAAGCATACATTACGCATAGCCGAAATTAGAAAACTATTTGATTTGTATTCGTGATATTTATAACAACGAGGAATTTGATTTAAATCATATCAAAGACGGAGTACATTGAGATGAAATACTACATTTAGTAAGGAATTATAAGCCGAATAAAATAAAAACATCTGTGCTGAAGATAACGACAGTGCTGACAGATAAACTTCCAATTGATTGCGTGCCGCAATGCCCCCCCCCCACGCAGAGCAGCGTGAAACGCCTTATTCCATTTTTGTAGCAATTCACTTTTTGTTTGATGGACATCGAAACTACTTTCGTTTCCTAGACCTTTGGGAGCTCCAGCATCGGAAATTCTATTTGACATAATCGAAAGTTCAAGCTTACTTTTATAAAATTGCTCTTACAGTCTGCAAAAAATATAAGCCGATCCAATTCGAAGATTAAGGAACAACGCAATCATCAACATTATTTGAAATAGATAATTTTAGCTTATACCATCTGTTATACATTAAACATGCACGCGTAAACGTATTTTGCGCTTGTGCACACGCATATGCGCAGTCGTAAAGGTCTTGCGTGCACGTGTAAACGCCTTTGCGCATCTGTCAACGCGGCGCATGCGCAGATAGATTTTAGCTTTGACGTCCGGATTATGGGTGTCCGAATTAACGACTTTTGACTGTACATTCAAATATTATGTTTTCATTGTTCTTCCAGATGTTTTCCCAAAATTAAGAAATTCATTGCAAACTTTCTGTAAAATACATCCACTACGTGTTGATACCATGGAGACATTTTTCATTTTGTCACATATTTCTCGAAACTTCTAGAATCGTGGGTCTATAAATCTTGCCTTCAAATCCTTCTAAACTTTCCAAGCTGCAATGTCTAAAATCCTAAAGAAAAATTATCCCTACCATTTCTCTAACAGAAAAAAGTCAGAAATATTTTGGAAAAAAGTATAAAATTAATTTTTTAGAGAAAACTGATGTACATTCTGAGACAATTACATGGGAAAAACTTTTACTATGAGAAAATTAAAAACAAGAATTTTAATTATTACATAGCTATTTTGCTTTTGCTAAGAGCTGTTTTCGTAAATTGTGCTTTATAGCATTATACTTGTTTATTTTTCAGATTTAATATTTTATAAGTTGCCAAAATGAAACTTTAATATGACAGTGAAAAATAAAAATGTTTTATTTTAATGTTATTTTTTAAACATAATTTCAATATATTACCTATTATTTTCAATGAAATTTATCAATGTTACGATGTTTTAAAAAAAAAATCGTCGAAAAATTCTCAGATCTCGGAATTAAAAATTTTCTCTATAGAAACTGATCTTGCCAAAATCGCCAGTTGATAAGTCGCCAAATTTAGAATCGTTTAATAAAAGAATTCACATCCTCAAATGCAAAAAGTTGTTTAAGAGCTCCTCAAATGCGAAAAGTTGTTTAAGAGCTCTTTACTAGAAAAAAATGAATTTCGCTATGCTTATCTTTTCACTTCTTGCTTAGAAACTCGAGTACCCCATAATTTATATTAGAAATAGAAACAAATTATAACTCAATGAACCCATTCAAAAGGATTACCATACGGCATCAGTAAATCGCCAAAAATATTCCTCAAAATGCTAATTCACACTCAAAATGACAGTCGTAAAAACAGACAGAAATTTCAGATTATTAAAATTAAGAACCTTCTGTTGATTTTGGCTAAAATTAAGGACCAAAAATCGATTCCAAAAAATATAAGGACTCTTAAGGACCGTATGAACCCTGTACTAATGGATTCTTATTTTATTTTCGATATGTTTGGATATTGTGTTAAGCCTCTTATACATGGTTGCAATTATTAATATTGAGGAATTGCTAATTTAACGTTAACTTCATTTGCTTTATATATATATTAAGAACAATCAATCCATGTTTAATTTATTTCTAGCATAAAACATTAAAGGTACCCATCTGACACGCATGTTGATTCCTCTACTACCTTTTGATGGAAGATATTTTTTTTTAATCATCTCAGGACTAATGTCCATTCTGTTCTGAGAAGCAAGAACACATCAGTTTTTCATCATATATCACTTCACATTCTTCAGTATACATTTCTTCAGTAACCAAATCTACTCTGCAGTCTTGTCCAAGATCATTTCTGAGTGATGTCCTATGCTATCTAAATACAAGAACCAGACTTGTATTCAGATAAGCATACTTGCCAACCTATGACACTCAAAAATCAGGAGATTTTTCACAATGTTAAAAAGACTTTTTAAATGATGAAAATATAGTTTTTGGTAATGAATTAACTTTAAATAGTAACTAATTCTTAAATGCAAGCAACAAAAAAGTACCTTACACATAAGAAACATTTTTATTACTTGCATCGTTAAAAAAAAAAACACTTTAATCAGTTTTTGTACAAATGTTATAAACAGTGGCAGATTTTGCTTTCTTTAAGAAAGAAATTTCATAATTTTGTTCCTAGCAATTGCCACGTAGGCCCGCTTTCGCTAATAAAACTTTTTCTAATTTGTCATCACTAATATTAGATCTAAAGTTTAGTGCTTCGGTTTCGCAACAACACTGAAAATCCTCTCACACTCTGCAATTACTATGGGGAACTGTCGAGATTGTCCAACATTAATTCTAGACAGTTCACTATATTTTAAAATTCCATCAGCATCTTTCAGTTTTCCAATTAAACACCACTGGGTGTCAGTCCTAGCTGATTTTATAACTTCATCCAAGTTTTCTAATTGTAAACTGCTGTTATGCAGCCTGTTGGAACTGTTTCAATTTTTCCTTCCTTTTAGAACTCCTTTCAAGATAATAATAAATATCAACAATGTGTTCATCCACATTTATTGGTAAAGAAGCTGCCCCTTTTTCAGCTGCTAAATTTAAGAGGTGACAGGTGCACCTTATAATCTGGAAATATGAATTTGCCTTTCTCAAGATGCCTGCAACACCAGTCTTCTAAGCCTACCAATACTGGTGCATTATCGGCACCAAGTGCTAAGCAATTATCCAGAGGAACTGCATTTTCTTTTAAAGTTTTAATAATTAGCTGTGCTATATTAAAACCTGTCAAATGTCTAAAGTGGGGACAGAAAGTAAACTGCACTCAATTTCTAAAGACTCTGGATTAAAAAAAGAAACAACAATTGGATACAGTTTTGAATCGGTATTATTGCTTCCGTAGAGAGGCAGAACGGAGCTGTTTTAACGCAATCGATAACTGAAGATTTATTTTTCAAATCCAGTTCTTTAACAATTGCACCTGTTTTGATTCTTGAGTATTTCTTATCAATTTCACTATTGGGAAACATTTTTCTAAATAAAAACTGCAGTGTGATCCGATGCATTCAGTGGCAGGTTGTGTTCCAGTAAAAAGGCAGAGAACAGATATTCTGCATTAATAACGTTTTGGTCCTTCGTTTCCGAAGAAAAATTCAATTTTTCGTTTTTTTTCAAAACAACTCCTGTTGTCCTTGTGTTTTTGTGTATGCACATATTTGAGAATATCCGCCCTTCCACCATGCGAAATCGAAAAGTCGCAACGACAGGCGGTACACATCGCAAATTTATTACATTTCCTTGAGGAAATAATGGAAGGAAAGTCAACTGTGTACGATTTTTGAAACGTACACGAGTATTTCCACCTTTCTTGCAGACATAACAAAAGATGATAATTTCTAAAACTATTTCCCGAAGGCATGTGTACTCACACAACTCAGGACAAAATGACCGAAATAACTTAAGAACATCCAAATAACAGCTTGCTTTGTCCTCATTCGTAATATATGCCAGATGACACGCAGGTGGAGCACGATGCCCATTGGAGAACGAAGTTTCTGGATACGTATATGCTCTCACTCACAAAGCAGAAGTTATCTAATTCGCAAGCAGTGGCGTAGCTAGGATTCCAGCACTCGGGGACAACTGAAGAATTTGCGCCCCTTTCTATGTGCCAAGAATGCAAAACATTCAATAAAAAATTTCGTAGCATTAATTTGGCGCTCCCTGGATGCTGTGCCCGGGGACAGATGTCCCCTCTTGCCCCACCCTAGCTACGCCACTGTTCGCAAGGTTTTGTTTTAGATATAATCTAGAGAAAATTCAATTGCTTTCAAACGTCCAAAATCACTTTTATTTTTATTCATATAACAAAGTATTAAGCCAAGTTTCATAAAAATCAGGAGAAATATATTGTAAATCGGGTTGGCGGGAGAGCGGTCGAAAATCAGGAGAGTTGGCAACTCTGGATAAGGTATATAGACACAAAGAATACAATATCACTATACATTATAAGCACACTGTCACGAATTATCGCTCGTTTATTCAAAATTCAATAACCTTCAATATTCCCTGATATTACAAATGAATAACTTGTGCAATTTCATAAAAATCAATTTAAAATCTTTAATTATACTTCAGAATAGTACTGAGCTCTTTTAACTGTATCATATGTATTACATGATCCTAAGGGTTGGAATTCTGGAATCTTTTTGTAAATCAAAATATAAAATCTAATGATTTGTACATGTTAGTTTGATATCGCATTAAAAAAATTTGCAACTTTAAAAAAGAGAAAAAAAAAGAAAAAAACTTTTACTTTAAAACAGACAAAAAATTTTTAAAAAGATTTCTTTCTTAAAAATAACATCAAATGCCAATAAATTGAAATATGTTTGCTTTATAATGAAAGAATAATTGTCTCAAGTTGAAAATATTAAATTACACAACAACATTTTTGCCCAAAATGTCATTTATATAAACTAATAAATCTGTACAATAAGTTGATTATGATTCAGATGACAATTCATTAATGATGATTTGGTGATTACAAATACTCAATAAAATGCACATCATTTTCAGCTTGATTAAAATTTTAGCAACATATTGTGTGCCAGTATTCAGCATGATAAAAATACTTCAGATTGTAATCAATTTAATAAATAAACGTACAGGATTCTCAAAGGAATAACAAAATTCATTTGAATAGTCCTCCACTTGTGTTTTGAAAAAATACTTATACCAGCACTGATCTGATGTAACATGAGTATCATAATTTTAAATACGGTCTTAATGCAGAACATAAATGATTATTGAATATTTAAAATGACAGTTTAATTAACGTCGATACGGGTGGTAACCTTGACCTTGTCCAGCAGTTCGAGTTCCCTGAGGGCCATCCCCTTGCCCACCATAACTTCCTGGAGCAGTATAATTTCCAGCAGCATTATAGTTATTTGGTCCAGTACCATAACCTAGGAAAAATGTAGCATTAACAAATTTTGCAAATTAAATATATTATTACTATTTTGTAAATAACATGATTTTATTGCGTTTGTTAATACCATGCAGATTTAGAGGAAATTTGTATATCTAAGAAATGCTCAAATAGACTGATCTATAAAAAGCTTGCGAACTAAGCCTGACATAGGCAACTGTACACTTTAAGGAATTGTATGTTAGCATTCATAAATTTAAAGATGCAAGCATCTTTGAATCATATGGTAATTATTATTTCATATAACATAATAAATGTATAAAAGAATAATTGAGCATTTTTGTGTTTTCAAATAATAAAATGCAATACACCTTATTTTATTATTACACTCTTTATATTACAATGTCAAGTTATTGGCATGACCTGCAAAAAGTTTTATGTTTCTTTACAAGATCTGCAGTTACATGCATGCTTACTTTCCTTTCATAAGAGAGAACCTTTGCACATAATGCTTCTTCATCAACCTTGTATTTTGTTTCAGATGATATACATATCCTATATATTATCTATGCCCATGCATTACACTATTCATCAATATTAAAGGATAATATGAAAAAATGTTACCACAGATTACAGACTTTAATTAATTATTTATGTTAATTATCTGCAACTGAATACAGAAATGGACTTTTGTGTGAAATCTGCAAAGTATATAACTGAAAATATTTTGCTCAAAGAACACATATTGGAATTCTGGTGTAAAGCATTGTTCACAGTTAATGTTGTTCCTAAAAGTATCAGTATTCATTAGTTATGATTCAAGAGAATCATTCAAATAAATGGCAAAACTGGTGGTAAACTGGAAGACTGACATACGCAGACGAAAGTTGCCCAAGATCTGAATATCTCTCACAGTGTGATATCATGTTATTCAAACCATTTTTTAAGTAGTGAATCAGAAAGTATACAGCATGGTCAAGGGCCAGCCACAAGCAACAACTGCACCTGAAAGACTATTATCTGTCATTGGTAGCTTAAAGAAAGCATTATGTAACTGACAGTGTTGGTTCTTGATTGAAACCATGTATCTTTTAGTATCTTATTATTTAATCTGCAACTTTTGTCAGTCCTTGCCATGATCCAAATTAGCTATATATAAGAATAAATTTCTTAGAAGTGAGAAAGAGAGCTTTGGTATTGATGTGACCATTACGATATTTCATAACCCATCTCTGAGAATTACTTCAGCCTTTGCTAGCTCATGAGATTACATTGGTTGAGGGCAGCACTGTTAATTTTAAAGCTTTAAAAAATAGGCTGTTTAAATTTTCTTCTGAGTTATTTTAATAAATGGGACAACAAGTTACCTAAAAGAGAGACAGAGTTTAGTTAGATAAGTGAGTGATTCCCTACAATGGGAACATGAATCAATCATTCCACTCTTGCATAAAAGCTTTATGAGAATTCTCACTTCATCCTCCAAAGGGGCTTCTTTCAAATGATTGTTTTATTTTGTCCAATGGGGCCTACAGGAATCAGACTTTTTTTTACTTTTACACTGCTAAGGAGGACTACTGACCGGGAACAAGCCCTTGCAGTATGATGTCCGCCCTGCAGATATTTATCAAGTCTAAATTAAAAAAAAAAAAAAAAAAAAAAAGATTACAGAGTCACATCTAGATAGGGAATACAAAGGACTACCTTGGATACATATGACATTCCAGGAATCAGACTGCACACAGTAAAGAAAAATCATAGTGTAACTAAAAATGTGAGTCTAGGTGGTTTTGATCTGAAGTGAGTGAGGAACATGCAATTTGCCTTCCCTTACTTGTAAAAGATCCAATTTGTATGGCAGATATTTCATGGTTTGGGGGTGGAATCATTTAAAAAAAAGGGGGGACTAACTTTGCTGCATATTTTTGACAAAAGTTCTGTTACCAGTCATAGAAATGAGTATGAGGTCTTGAAACACCATGAAAAGCTGTTTAGAGATGCTGTTGGACCAGATTTTCTGCTAACCACGTGGAGCATTTCTTCTGATGTCAGAATACTGAAACAGTTGAAAACAAAAGGTGTCACTCGGCCAGAATGACCAGCTTATGCATCAAACTTGGAACTTGACTGAGCATGTGTGGAATGCTTCAGGCTATTAAACTGCAGTGTGTCAAATACAAACCAGAATAAAAAAAAATTTACTTTAAAAAGACTGGTGTGCACTTCCATAAGACTTGATTCAACACTTCGCTAAACTCCATGAAAAAAGATCTGTTACAAAACAAAGATTATTTTAATTACATTTCACCACCCAGACGGTTAGTAATCCTTACTGCCATAGGGATGGGCCCGGGTTCGAATCTCAGAGAAGGCATTCACTTATTAAGTACTTTCATGATTAAATTGCCACCACTTCCGGCTCTTATAATGGTGCAAGGATAATGCCTATTAAAGAAAGTGCCCGGCCCACTAAAAACAATTTATTTAAACATTTCCATAAATTTGACTTGTACTGCCTTTCTAAACTGACTATCTTTAGCAAGAACTCCCAAAATCTTCTGATATTAATAGTATGAGATAAATAAAGGAAAACTCGGCACAAAGTAATGTTACATTTAGTTAATTACTAAATTAATTGCTGTTATTGTATTTGTTCACACTATGCAAACACAGGGTGGGACTTGTAGTCCTAAAAGATGCTTCGATACTTGACTGAATAAAAAGCTTGAAAACACCAAGCTTTTGCTTTCAAATCAATTTCTTCAACTGATATTTATATTTACACTGCAGCAGTTGAGGACAGAGAACCTCTGCCCAGCAAAAAAATTGCACCTTATTTTTCATGACTGAAACTTCAGAGAATTTTTTCAATTATACTTTTCGTGCTAATTATAAAACCTGTTACCATATTTCTCCACTAGGCAATGCTTCTGAGTAACTACTTTTCATTTTCTACACATAACATCTTCATATTACATTTTATACGATGCTGCAATTCATAAAAATTATTTTTAAACAAAATTCTATTTACTTTTATTCAAAAATTTTAGCTCAGATATACACCATTTTAGAACTAAAAGGTGTTCCAACAAAAGCACTTCGGAAAATGAAAAATATTTTTTTACATACTTCCAACAGGTAAAATGCTTCAATTTAAGAATAAAAACTAAGGCCTGGCATATATCAACCATAACTTGCTCTACAGCACCACACACTCTTGATGAAATTTGTAATCACTTTTTCATATACCTGCTTATCTAAGGAGCTAATAACACATTCAATATCCTATTTAAGTTCTTGCACTTTTCATAAAACATGTAATATCAGGACATTTTAAAGAAAACAACTGCAAGGAATAAGGTGACATGGCCTTGCTAGCTATTTATGGTCACTGTTGCAAATGAACAAAGCAATTGTCACATGGCAGGAATTATATTGTTGAAACCATTTGTGTTTAATATCAATTCTTTGCAAATGTGGCTACAAGAAACTGGAAATCATATTGTGGTACCATTCTCCATTAACCAAAACTGCATTTTTTTCACCTTGGCACAAGGCTATCACTCCATCAACACAAAATCTACACTACACAGTAATTTGTTGTGGATACAACGGTGTCTCTTGAATTTCAGTTGTCCAAATGCAATAGTTTTGTTTGTTGACCACTGTTCCCATAAAACTGTGCTTTGTTGCTAAACACTTATGTTTCTTACAAAATTTTCTTCCACTCACTGCATCCTCAAACCCATTCGACAAAATTCCTCCGCTGCAAATGAGCATTTGGTTTTAAATCATAAGTCAGCTGAATTTTATGTGCATGCTTGTGCAGATCTCCTGTGAGAATGGGACATAGGAAACTTTTCAAAATGCTCATTGTGAATGACACCGAATGGATCTTTTGGGACTTATGATGCTTTCAACAGACTGGCAGGATCAAGAGCACGCAATGTTTTTTACAATTTTCAATCTTTTGATTATCTAAGTTCATAACAACATTTTCTATGACTTTCATGTATTAAGAAATTCAGTTATATTCAGTGTATATTCAATAAGTTCAACAGGTGCATTTAAATAGGTTTTCATTTGAAGAGGTTTTTGTTTTTAAAAAAATTGAAAACCTAATACTCTCTACCTACATTCACAGCCTTTACACAATTTTTATATTTAAATTTATAATTTAATGCAAGGATGGAGTACTTTGCAAGTATTTTCTATTAGACACATGCCAAACATTCTGGCTATTTCTATCCCCACACCTTCAACTTGATGCTAGAACAGGGTCTGTACACATTTCTGCACATAGAAATTAAGGACTTTTAAGGAGCATTAATGAAAAAAATTAAGGACCTGTTAGCAAAAGGGAACCGACTAAATTCAACTAAAGATATTATCTACGGCTGAACTTAACCTTTGTAATACCTTCCTAAGAATAAAATAGATCCGTAAACAGGATATATTATTATTAAACATAATTTTATAAAAATAATTATAAAACAAATTTGAGAATAAAACCAACTTTAAAAAATTTATCAAGTAGCATTTAGTATTTCACACTAATAATAGTTGGACATACTTAAAAAACAATTAGTGACATTTTATTTATTTTTACTATTAGTTAGTTTTATGCTGACCCTCCCTTTTTTAATTATGTCTTATTTTGTCATGTTTGCTCAGTCTAGAGGTTTAGCAAATAGCACATAGATTGTATGTCAAACGGCATAGGTTAAAATGAGAAGTAAAATCATAACCAGCATGACTGGTAACAGAAGACTGGCTATTGTTACTGCTGCTGCTTGCCTTAGAGAGAGACCTGCTGATCAGAACAGACCTGAAAGTCTGATGCAAGCACAGTTGGCAAGTTTTGAAAGTTGGTTACCTTCTATCTGTCTGACATATTTAGCATCATAGCTTCATATAGAGTTGCTAGGGTTGTAACCCAGTTAATGTACTTTAAAGTTCCAATAAGCTACTAAAGCACCAGAAGTGATAAGTTGTTTTGTATTATTTTGAGTCTCATCAGCTGCAAATAACTTTTACATTAATTTTTACATTTCCCTGCTGTATCTTGTGACCACAGTAAACATTAATGGAAGGCAATAACTAGCTTTAATTTGCAGCAATAGCTTTTAAGGGTGAGCAGTTAGTAACAAATAATTAAATTACGTAGCCTAGATACCCTTAGTCATTAAAGATTTACATGGCCACTATAATTTTTTTTTTTTTTTTTTTTTTTAAATATTTGTTAAAAAAAAGCACTATTAAGATCACAATCTAATACCATTTCACAGTTTAAAATACCTGTAATTTATGATATTGATTCTTAAATGATATTTAGATAATTACACATTAAAAGTTACAAAATATTTATATTTTGTAGCAATAACACTCAAAAAAATACTTATGCGCCTTTTTATTATTTGAAGCCTTCCCGTACATTTTGACTAGTAGTTATTTAGACATTTAGGAAGGCACTTGGCAACAGAATTTATGATCCACAGAGAGTGCATCAGGTGGGAAAGTGCCTAGAGTGCATTGAGTCCTGTGTACAATGCATTAAGTATCATATACGATGAATCTTTCAAATTGTCAGTTTTAAATTTATTTATTAATAGAAAAATTCCTTTTCTATAAATGCCTGTCCATGCGATAATATTAGAAGCATTTTTGATATTTTCCATGCTTGTATCTAGACAAAAGTCGAGAAAATAAAGGGAAGATACACGTTAAGAAAAAGACTTCTTTCATCAGATGTAAAAACATTCAAATATTATGTTTTCATTGTTCTTCCAAAATTTCTCCAAAAATTAAGAAAGTCATCAGAAATTTTCGGTCAAATACATCCATTATGAGTTAATTTAATAAAGACATTTTTCATTTTGTTCACATTTTTATGGATTCTTCTAGAATCATGGATCTATAAATCCTGCCTTAAAAATCCTTCTAAACTTTCCAAGTTGCAATGTCCTGTGACTGTTGGGCACCAAAAATCATCGAAGAAATCATTAGAGAGGAGGAGGCTTACTTTAATGGGCTGGGATAGCAGCAAACAGTGACTCCAGGTGGCTCTATCACAGCTGTCCGATATTGCTACAAAATTCCACACCCTCTTGTGTGTCCTTTTATCTGCAATGGGTACTAAAGCAATATTTATGGATGATAACGCCTGCCCACATAGAGCTCGAGCAGTGCCTGGAGAGTTAAACCCTTCCACATCTGCCTTGGCTGCTAGATCACCAGACCTGAATCCCGTAGAGCATGTGTGGGACATGCTGAGACGACAGATAGCAAGTCGCAATATGTGGCACCAGGCTTCGACATGATACTGCCACAAGTAATCAACTACAGGAATGGGTGCTACTGCCACAAGCAATCAACGACACTATCGCCATCTTGCATCACTAATGTCAAGGATGCATTTCAGCTTGAGGGTATCATACCCATTATTAGCATGATATTTCCACTGCACATTTTTCTGACCCATTTGGTCTTTCACGATGTGATGCAATACATGTGTTTTTGTTGTTGCAGGCTAATAATGACATACCAACCTCTTAGATTAATTTCATGCATGTCCATTAAATAGTTTTTATTTTATTCTGTGTTTTGCCTTTGTTTCTTATTCTTGGAGCAGAAGTGTATAATAATAATAAAAAATTTTATTAATATATATATTTATTTATTCACCTAGAAACAGCTTTGTGTATGGTAGATTTTGAAATATGAAATGGAACATAATGCAACATTTCACACTATTAAAATCTTCTCCCCACTTGAATCATTTTTTGAACTTTCAAAACAAATAACTGTATTTGAATCATTTTTATTATCTGATAAAAGATTTTTCTCCTCAGAATCAAATCCCTCATTCAGTAAAATGTGCTTTATGCCATTATTTTGTTATAACCTGGATTCAAAATATAGCAATTAAAAATTCTTAAACAAACCTCCAAAATTATTCTTATTATCCAGGAAATTATGTAGCACCACCATCTATATGAAGTAAAATCAACTAATATGCAAGTTCAACTTTTTCATAACGCTCAAAAGCACTGGATTATTATTATGATTAAGAATGAACCTATTTCATTCCACTGTATTCACTGTGACAAAAACCTACTTCACGAGTGGGACGTGTTCATTACCATTTAGGAAGAAACTTCTAGTGGGGTCTTTGTTCATTTGCACCTACAGTAGTGCACAAATGGAATGCAAGTCGAGCTCGTTTATGACGATCAAAAGTTTCAAACACAATAGTGACTTGGAAAGAACATTTATAATGCCTTCCTTCTAATATCAAAATTTTTAAATAAAATATTATCTTTGTCTTTATTATTCTCCTCACACAGAAGGAAAGCTGTTTTGCACGTCCATGAATAGCCCAAGGAATGCAGCCCTCACCATAAATTTTCTAATAATTTACACTAATTTTGTAACAGTTTTGTTAAGTTTCACATTTTCATGTGTGCAGTATAAAAACAACTGGCACTGATGTATACGCATTTCCATCAGAAAGCAAAACTATCTTTAACCTGTATTTAAAAATTGATTACAACATTATACAGTCAAAAGTCGTTAATTCGGACACCCATAATCTGGAATGATCTATAATCCGGACCTCAAAGCTACAAACTTATTGCGCATGCTTTGCATTGACGCAGACCTTTACGGCTGCGAATATGCATGTACGCATGCCCAAAATACGTTTACGAATGCGCGTTTAATGTATAACGGACGGTATAAGCTAAGCTAAAATTATCTAATTCAGTTAATGTTGCAGATTGCGTTGTTCCTTAATCTTCGAATCAGATCCGGCTTATTACTTTTTGCAGACTGTTGGAGCAATTTTATAAAAGTAAGCTTGAACTTTCGATTACGTCAAATAGAATTTCCGATATATATTTACTAATATGTAAAGGATCTACAAAGCGAAAGTATATTTCGAAGTCCATTAAACAAAAAGTGGAATTGCTGCAAAAAAAATGGATAAAGGCATATCCTTTGTTTATCTAACCATTCCGAAATCTGTTTATCAATTTCACGCTGCTCTGCGGCGGGGAAACGCCGCGGCACGCAAGTTGATCTGTCAGTTGATCGGATTGAAGTTGATCTGTCAGCACTATCCTTATCTTCAGATGTTTTTATTTTATTTGGCTTATAATTCCTTACTAAACGTAGTATTTCATCTCGAAGTACTCCGTCTTTGATATGATTTAAATCAAATTCCTCGTCATTATAATTTGCTTCTGATAGCAAAGAAAGTAAAATAAACAAATAAATATTAAGCTTTTTTTTTATTTTATTTATTTATTTATTTTTTAATTTTGATACCCGTTAGATGATAGTTGTTCTTTATTTCATAAATTACGGTTTCATATTTTTAATTTTATAATTTCTGCATGCCATCTTACCAGATTTAAACTGATGATCTAGAATCCGGAATCGCCAGATTATAGTCCCGACGAGTCCGGATTAACGACTTTTGACTGTAACTTAAATTATACCACTAATTACCTATGGAATTACTAACAATTTTCTCCCTCTACCAAAACTGATATTAGTCAGAGTAATGCATAATAAAAGTGAGTTGATACATAAAAAATGTAGTTTGCAAGAGAAATCTATATCATGGAGTACAGATTTTTCCCCTATTTAAAGAGAGTACAATAGATATAATTTTAACAAAAAATGAAGGAACATGTTCCATCTTGAAAGAGTAAAAATAGTTATTTAAAAAGAAAAGAACATTTCTTTTAATTATTCAAAATCAATAACTTACCAGTTCCGAATCCAGTTCTATTAGGACCAAAATTAGATGGCTCTTGCGGATATGTTCCCATGCCTACACGAACAAACATGCAAAATTGAAAATCAAGCGCAATTCAGAATAAACAGCATAATTCAGTTATATTTAATTCAATCAAAAATTTTATATCTGTGCTTCTTTCAAAAATAAAAGAAATACTCATTTAGATTTACATATAATTCTACAATAAATTATAAAATAACATATTGTGAAATTAAATTCCTGCACACAAAATATAAGTATATACACGAAAAACTGACAGTTATTTGATTTTAAAATCAGGGATCATATTCAAGGACAATGCACAAATTGAAGAGCAAAATGTTTACCTTTGTACATAACTAAAAACAAAATATTAGTTTAGAAAATAGTTAGAGATTAAGTGATGAGCATTTTATTGTGAAAAATATTGATCAATATTAGTTTTTAAAAATGGAGATCTTATTCATAGAATCATTTAGAATTAGTGGTCTAGAAAACACTGGCAGTCTTCAGTATTGGCACATAGCAACTCATATTATGCAATTAAAAATGAAAAAAATATTTGCACTTTAATAAATTTTTAGTACAATTACCAGATTATGGTCTGAAAGCAACAAAATTTTGTGAGAATATTAAGAACATATTTTTAGATTAAAAAAAATTAAAGATTATTTCAGCATACCAAATGTAACAAAATTATAAATTAAAGACACTAGTAAATTATAAAAGAATGTCACTGAATGGTATATAATATGTAAAACTTAAACCTTGAATTATTTTAATTTGAAATTCAATATCTCATGGGAGTGAAACCTTTTACATTTTACTTTTTATAGCAAGTATTATAGTTTCCAAATTATAAGTAGAACCAGAAGAATGTTTTTAAATTTAAAAATGGTAAAACATGAATGCTTGCACTGTCTGGAGCATTTCTGTAATTGGAAGTATATGTATAGAACCAATGTTTGCGAAAATAAAAGCCAGTTGGGTAAAGGCACGTATACACACACACACATGTATATGCAGCATATGTATAAAGAGAGAGAAATCGCACCAAAGAATTATATGTCAATTACAGAAAATTTCGAACAAACTACAGTTATTAGATAATGCTATTTTAAAACTTGTATTTTGAAATATTTTCAAATAGAAACATACTATTAATAAAAATAAGTAATTCAGGTGAAAATGCTAATCTAATACTTGCAGTATCAAACATTCAATACCAAAAATGCACCCATAAAATAGAAAAGCCTTACAAAATACTAGCCTCCCCATCCACACACAAATGAATTCTTTATGTGCATAAACATGAAAGATAACATATTTTAATTGAAACTTTATATTTATATACTGTTCATATAAATAATGGATTCTGAACTTAACCTCTTAATGCAGTCAAATTAACTTGGGTACACTGAACTAAATTAATTCCATGCACTTGAGTAAATACGTTCCCCCCTTTTTCCCAGATATTAATACGAAAGAATATATTTACTACAGTTTGGAGGACACACACACACACACACACAAAAAAAAAAAAAAAAAAAAAAAGAGGGCAGGGGGGAGGCCACTTTTTGATTTTTTATAGGTGCATTAAGTATTTAAAATGGGAATAAAAATATAATCACATGAGAAATAGGCATATCCTTTTTTTATTATGTTGGTCATTGGTTGTACTTTAAAACTCTGGCTTCACTAGTAAAATAACTTATTTTTAAGCTTAATTTCCAAATAATATATACTTTACTAATTGTTTATGCAATTCCTTTAATTGCATTAATATTTTGCAATGGAAAAAAAAAGAAAATTCTTATTAATAAATATTTCTTTCATTTCACAAATCGTGTATTTTTATGCAGTTCAGATCAGTATTTTAATGCACATTTTTAAGTATATGGCTATTCTAATTCTTACATTTTAAATTTTAAGTGATCATCAGATATTCTGAATTTAATAGAAATTTTAAAAATCTGTGTGAGCTACTCACCAGGTGGTGGAGGTCCTGTCTGTCCTGCAGCAGGAGCAGGGGTGGGTCCAGGTCCTACAGGAGCAGGTCCACCCATTCCAGAACCAGCAAAACTTTCCGTTCCTGGTGCTGGAGGATTAGGTGGAGGAGGACCTGTCATTGGACCACCATAACCTCCATACGTTCCACCATAGCCTGTTTAAATTAAAATGACTCACTAAAATATTCTTTTAATTAAAAAAAAAGAAAAAATTGTTGAGATACAAAAAATGAGGTATGAAACATGCCATACTAAATTTAAGAAAATGCTATAATTCTTTCCATCTTTACGTTAACAATTTTTTTTTTTTTTTTTTTTTTTTTTTTGGGTATAAAAAATGTCTGCTATACGATATATGTATGACAGGAAAAACAGTATGCATATTGTTGCTTGGTATTTGTTAGCTATCCAGTACCCAGTTATCTTGTCAACAGTCTACTGATAAATTTTGGCAATGATTTTTTTAAAATTCTTTGTAGGTATTACTTGACAACTGCATGTAAACATTAAACTGAATATTATTCTCTGGAGCTCTGACTCCAGATGACCTTTGATAAAAAAGACAACAATTGATGATCAACTAAACCATATAGTTGCTTATTTCATTTTGCTAATCCTAATATGCGCCAGAATCCACTTCCGGCCAGAATTAAACGCGTTAATTTGGTTATGCAAATTGTACCTGCTAACGCCCAAGTATTTAAGTTGTGGCTTTTTGCCAATGATATAGAGGTAACGAGAGAGAAAGAGAAGGCGAGTTTGCCGGCCACCACCTTATTGCAAGTGCGTTTCAATTTACTGCTGTTTGCCTATAGAGCCAGAGGTTTAGTCCTCTTGTAATTTAAATGTATTGTAGTTTCGGCAGTTTGCGTACTACATACGTCACACATGTTAAAGGCCATTCTTAATCGTAACTATCTCTGTGAGTTATTCAGAGTCAGCTCTTATTTTTATTTTAGTTCATAGTTTATATTTTTACGTTCAGACCACAAGTAGTTGGTCTCTGTATCCCAAAGCGTATGAGCACCTGTGTTCAGTAGTTAATAAAGGGAAATTTAACCCTTCTCATCTTGTCTTCTGTTCTACACTTCGTAAAGACATAGGTTGTAGTCAACCTCCCAGTCCAGTCAGGACTCACTATGTTTGCGAAACACATGAAAAGAAACACAAGTACTGATAAGCCTTTCTCAGAAGACTGCATTTTAAGCAAACTAACTAATTTTTGTTTTCTTTCCGATTCTATAGTCTGCTGTAAAGATACGTGATAATTACAGCCACTCATTTGTCGAAATTGACCTCAAGGTTATCTGTCTGAAATTCTCCTTAAGAAGAAAAGGTAATTTAAATCTTTTAGCCTTTTAGGAAAATTCCAAACTGTATCAAACAATATAAATATAGGAAGATTATGCATTGTTCGGTTTTCAAATGAAGATTTTAATGTAACACTGAAAAGCATTTCAAACATATTCCTGTTAATTCTATTATTGTCTGGTATTAGAGTTATAATTCGATAGCCACAAGACTGTGTAAAGACATTAGGTTAATTGGAAAAGCCGGAAAGATGAAAAATTAGCAACCGCCTTTGCTGGGAATTGAACCACGGTCCCCTGGAATACCGGCCCAGCGTGCAGATCCACTACACCATGAAGGCACCCTAGGAAAATAGGAGACATACCTTATAACTGTACATAATCGAGTACTTGTTTTGTAATTATTATAAGGGATTTCTCCCACCTTCTTAGCATGCCTTCGTATCATAAATGTTTGCATAATTCTTAAATTTTAAAAAATTACTAAATCAAAACTTATTAAATTAAAAACAATTTTAATAATTCTTAGTGACTTCCTTGGGCCTGTCTTGCAAAGTTTTTCGAAGGAAGGTTTAGTATTAGAAATAGACATTCTCAGTTCTTTTCCTATATTTAGCTGAGATCTATATTTTGTCTTCAATGAAGCCACCGCAAAAAATCCAGTTTCACAAATGTAGGATGTTGAAAATGGTAACAAAATGCGAAATGCCCTTGTTTTTAGTGCAGAGAACTCATCATTCACTCCTGCCTAAAATTCAAAGAGTGATTTATTACTAAATTGTCTTTTGGTTTCTCCACTAGTCGTGAAGCCTATGAAGGTTTCTTCCTCGGCAATTGAGAGCCCTTCGGGAGTATTTTAAAATGGATCTCTTACCCACTCGTAACTTTTTATCAGTTTGTCGTCAGCAAGAAAGTAATTTTTAAATTCTTTGTCAGCATGGCTAAATGATTTTCAATGGTTACAAAAACCACTTTTACATGTTGTTCTTCGGGCTTGTAAGTTTTAATACAATCATCCACATTTTTACACATTGTTAGGTTTTTTTGCTTTACATTTCTGCTCCACAATTCCAATTTTCTACAAAAAGCATTAACTTTATCATTCGTATCCAATATATGTGTATTTGCTCCTTGGAGTTAAAGATTCAAGGTATTAAATTTCTCAAATATGTCGACCAAGTAGCTGAATTTCATTACAAATAAACCATCGCGAAAATTCTCAGCTTCCGGTCTGTTTTCCTCTTGTAGGAAAATAGCAATATCATCTCTTAATTCATAAACACTTTGCAAAAATTTCCCATGTGATAACCATCTTGCCTCACAATAAAACAGTAACGCTGAATGTGCTGCGCCCATGTCTTTACAAAGTGTGGAAAAAATTCTTGATTTCAGAGGTCTCATTTTTATATAATTTATTACGGTTACAACCGTAGTTAACATAATATTCAGACCAGGACTCATTTTTTTTGGAAGCTACAGCTTCCCTGTGGATCATGCAATGTGTCCAGGTGCTCTGGCGATTTTTGCTTTACAAGTGCTTGTATACATTGGAATCTTCCTGACATTGAACGAGCACCATTGGTGCATATTCCGATGTTATTTTTCCATTCTATATTTGTTTTGTACGTAAAAATTATTTAAAACAGCAAATAATGCTTGTGCTGTTGCTTTGAGTTATATTGGTTTGCAGAAAAGTACTTCTACTATTGACATATCATCACAAAATCGAACATAGGCAATGAAATGAGCGTCTTTATTACTATCTGTTGCCTAATCAAAATGTATTGAAAATAATTTGTCATGCAACTTCGAGAAAAGCTGACACTGTACATCTTCAGCTATATCAGTAATTTGACGGGAAACAGTATCATTTGAAAGAGGTATGGACTGCAATTGGTTTGCAAAATTATCTCCAAACATAGTTTCTACAATCTCAATTGCTGCTGGCAAAATACGCTTTTTATCAATGGTGTGAGGCTTTTTACATCTGGCTATTTTATATGAAACTTTGTAAGAAGCAATTAATGCTTTTTCATTCAGACAAAGTTTTTTTGCTTTTCATATGATTTTAATTTTAATTTGAAAAATTCTCTGGGTTTGTTGACGTACTCACTATGAAGTGTTTCCAAATGTCTTTGAAGTTTATTAGGTTTCATGCTGTCTGCTGCCAATATTTTGGAGCAAATGATACATAATGGTCTTTGTTCTTCATTTACTTTAGTACTGGTAAATCCTGTAACTGCTGTGTTGTGAATTTTGAGTAATTTGTCAATTGAATTTTTTTCGTTTTCAATAACTCTTTATCACTTTCTTCACTATTGGTAGTGGTATTTTCTGGATTTAGAAACCTACTGCAGATTTCGACATCCATCGATTGACTCATGATTGGGCATTGAAATCACAATGAAAAACTTCTATTACTATCATCCTCATTTATTAATGCTTCTCCACATTTCTTTACAGCATGCATTAATTGGAAAATCTCAGCTCTGGTTCATGATAGAAAACCTTCAAATTCGCAGCTATCATCTACATGATGAAATACGGTAGCTGGCCTTAAATTATGCCAAGCACTTTTTCAAGTACAGGACTAGCATAAATTATTCATTTGTTTTGAAAAGTCTATATTTTCAAAAATACTTCACTTACACACATGAAAGATACAGGAAAAGAACCACAAACTCACCAAGTTTATACAACCTCCACAAATATTCAGTATATGCCCCTCTGGTGACATGACACACATCCAGATGATAATCAAGCTCATTCCATACATTTTATAATATTGTTGTCCAGATATCCGTCCTGTCAATTGAGCAGATGTTCGGAATACCGCAAAAAACTGCGTGGAAGTTGCATTTCAAACCATACCATGTGTAGCTCTTGCAGCAACAATTAAAGCCAGAGGATTATGTGCGTCAGCTAGATTTTTGGGTAAACATACAGGAAGAATTGGAGGCCAAAGATTTCGCCACCAAGTTGATATTCAGTGATGAAGCAACCTTCTACTTATCCGGGAAATTTAAAGTAATAGTAAAAAAAAAAAAAAGAAGAAGAAGACGACTTGTGAGTTTATAGTTCTTTTCATATATTTTTCATGTGCGTATGCGTAATACTTTTGAAAATACAGCTTTTCTGCAATGATTGAATCACTTATGCTAGCCCTGTATCTGGAGACACACCTACGATCTTGTAATGCTCCACACAGCAGATTTTATGCTAAAATATTAAAAAAAAAAAAATGCTTAGTCTTGCCATTATTCAAGAAATCTGATATGGATTTTAAAAATGCTACTTTATATGCATTTCAGTACATGGCCTCTACCGAAATTTATAGGCTGAATGTTGGATGTACACTGCGCAAATAGATGGGGGTGGGCAGACAGTTTTATCCTCATTCTACTGGGCCGATTGACGAAATTCAACTAGCGTTTTTTATGTCTCGAAAGCATGACTTAGGATATGTATTAGATTTATATATAGCATTGTTCTAAGATAAACATTTTGATACAAAATCGGACTTTTTCTGAAATGATATGTTAATTTTTTCCCATATTTTGATTCTAAGATTCAAATTATGCCAAACCGCCACGCTTGGTAAAAATCACGAGAGTAGTTTTTAAAAATTAGCTCTCAAAAATTTAGCTCCCCAATGTTAATTGAATTTATTATATATTTATTAATATCTCTTTATATACTAAACTTTTTTCATTCTTCTTTTCACATTTCGAAATTTGGGTTAATTCCAAATAAAATTCACCCAATTTTTATGATTTTTAAATTTGCATTTCTGAGTAAATTTTATACATTTTTCGAATACAATTTTGAATTATAACCTATAAAAT